GGATAGAGTCGTCTCGGTATTGTCAGCCCACGTCGTCAGGATTTTATTCACCGCCGCGTGGCATAGATCAGATGGAAACCATATTTGTCTCCCTCAGAGACCTAACCTCTCCTTATGCTTCTGGAAATGGACTCTTTACAACCCCAAATCAGCCTCTTGGGCTGGAAAGGAGGCCAGGGAGGGTGGGAGACCCTCTTAGCACCAAAGGGCCAGAGGAATCCCCAGGAATTTAAGCCTGGAGAGCTGACACTCACTACAGAACCCAAGATCTCCACGCCCAAGATTCTCCCTTCGAGCCACGCTTCCTCCCCACGCTGGAGGCGGAGCAGAGAGCCTGCGGGGGGGGGGGTAGAATACACTTAAGTGGGGGTAAACAAGGTGGGTGGGTGGGACACTCAATAAGTGTATGACCCCGCATTCTCTAGTAACTAGCTACCTTAAGTTGAAAGTCCCTGAACTAGCGCCACCTCTCGCCCTCGTTGGTCACCACCAGGCCCTTTCCTTTTAGTCTCTAGTTCGCAGGCTCCCAGGGAGGAAAACCTGCCCTAAGCAGGCGACGCTTCCTCTAGCGGAAGTTATTGCCTTGGACTTTAGTCCTGGCACCACCCAGAAACAGGAAAGGGTTGTTCATTCCTTGGTCTCCAAGCAAACCTGAGCCCCAAACGCCAAGGAAGCGCAGGAATGGGGAGCTTTTGGGCTCAGCCCTCCTAGATCTGAGTTTCTAGGCCTATTGCCTACACCGAGACACCTTCGATCAAGTGGGCAGGGAAGGGTTTAGCAGAACTGCCGAGTGCTAGGGATGGAGAGTGGACGGTCATCAGTTGGAGTTCTAGCTTCTCTTGTGTGTGTCCTTTGGGAATGAATGAGGGAATCCGACAGTTTCAAACCTCAGGCCTTGCGTAGTTGGCTTTATCTTTTTCTAGCTGATCTTAATAGACACCGGAGATGCCTGAACCTGTGAGCACTCTGAGCTCCAACCCTCAAAGCTGCAGGTTCGAGATCACCTGAGCAGGGGCGGGGTGTCACACAAGGAAGTCCGGGCCTGCACATCAGAAGCCTGTACTGACCAAGAGCGGCAGCGGCGCTGGGAAACCAGAAAGGAGCACTTTTCTCCCTACCGTCCCAGTGTCCGTCCTATATTGTTTTCTGCTCTTAAAACTGACATGTCTAATTGGCAATTGGTGCCGAATCGTGTCCAGAGGTCTCTTGTGGAACATTTCTACAGCTGTCTCCTTCAACTAGACGCTTATTCATGTCGCCTTAATGAGAAACAAAACGTTCTCTAATGAGCAATTACAGAGCGACAGGATTGTTCCCATAACAAATTCTTGCGAGTGACAGAAGCATCCTTTGTACCAGATATTTCGCATACTGTTACCGATTTTCCCTTCTCTAACCCGGCTCTGTGGAGGCACCCTGCACATGGGGCCGATCCAAGAGCTCACGGATTCACAGCAGCCCCTTCGAAGTCCCTGCGCCGCCCCCGGCCCTACGCCCCCCAGGCTCTGTGGTACTCCCGGGAATGAGACGCCTCGTCCCATTATCCCGCATATTATCTCCTTGTCACGAAGACAACAAATACCGATTAATCTCCGAAGTAAACTGTTTCCTATTCTTGACCAAGTTACCTCAGTGTGAGTGGGAAGAAGAGAGAGCCAACCCACCCACTCTTCCTGCATCCTTCTCACAAATCCTGGGAAAGGAAAACATAGTTCCTATCTGTCCCCCCCCCCACACACACACACACCCGCCCCAGAGCTTCTTCTCTTAGCCTCAGCCCAGTACTCAGTTTCCCTACCCCACTTCTAACCAGTTGCCACCACCAAGAATAAGAACTGGAACCCACGGTTGCAGGGGGAGGGGCAAGTAAGTGGGTTAAAATGTTTGAGTTAAGGGATGGAACTGCCACTGGAAGTCTTCAAACTGGCTATGCACATGGAGGGGGTAGGGGGCCTGCCCTCTCCTACCACCTTACTCAAAGTCACATAATAGTCAATTACTTCAAAAGCAAATAATGCAATTACATTTACCTTACAGTTTCTCGATGTGTTAGACTTGCCTCGCTTGTACAGCAAGTGGCTCTACTGTGTTTTAATGTCAAATTTGAATAAGGCACCACTAGGTTCGACCTTTCACATGCACAACCTCCTAACCACTTCATACAACCTTTGACATACATAATCCTTACAGTCCCGAGTCAACAAGATGGTTTCACAAACACCAATTACAAAGTGTGAGTTGGGGTACCTAAGCCTTCCAGGATAGTACCCTCTTTAATCTCCTAGACACTGGGAGCCCAGAGGAGGAAAACACTTCAGGAAGGTGGCTGCTTGAGTTTTACCTTGCGTGGGTTGCCCTGGTACTGAAGTCCCGGGATACCAACCAGGGCGGGTGCCCCAGCTTCCGGTCTGCCCGTTCAACATCCTTAGTTTATCATACATGCCGTCTGCGCCCATCTGTTGCTTTTCGCTAGCCAGGTTGCGAAGAACTCTGTTTATTGATGACACCTGCAAATCAAACCAAATGGTAGTCTCTCTGAAAGACATAGTCACTCACCCCATCTTAGGGTCCCACCTCAGCTCTCCCAGGCTTTAAAGAATGACTCACTAAACATGAAAAAGCTCCCAGTTGTCCTGGGACACTCCTTGGATTTTTAGCTACATTGTGGGAAGAATCACAGCTATCATCTTGTTCCTGGAAATAAAGCTGGGTAAAAAGGAGGGAGCAGCCCTTCACCTCTGGAGATATCACTAATGACAGCTCACTGGGCTGCTTGGCTTTGATCAAAGACTCCATGATAAAAGATTTCAACTTAATTTAGAGATTTACTTTATCATACAGCAGAAATGGATGCATGTTGCCTGAAAGAAGCTTCAGGAAGGTGCTTTGAGAATAATTTAGAATCTGGTTTTAACTTTCATTTTCCTCTTTGATTCAAGTGTTTTTCCTAGTTCCTTTGCCCCCGGGCTTGTGTTATACAAATGAAGTGAACTACTCCCCACACTTGACTCCCATTTTCCAGATGGCCAAAATGTCAAAGCCCACCTCTCCATATCCCCAGGTACCCTGGAGGCCCGTGCACATCAGGGAGATTGGCAAGGCATTGGGAAAGAAACGAGCTGGAGGAGATAGAGACGGAGGTGGGGAGAGAGCAAGGAGCTTGGGGGCAAGGCAGACAAACGTTCACAATGAACTTACACTGGGTATGTTATCGTTGGTACAGACCCCCTCGGATAATAATCTGTCTCGGATTTCCCAAGCAAAGATGGACGGGCACTCCCGTTTATACTGGGCTATTTTGCTTACAACTTCTGGAGTCGCCACTCTTGGTTTACTACCTCCGATTGCCCTGGGTCTGATGGAGCCAGTCTCGTAATACCTGCCCAGAATTTTACTCACACATCCGTTGGACACCTGCATTGGGGAATTGGACAGAAAACCACATTATTAATAATTTCAAGACAAAAATAAAATTGTTTAAGTATGCATTAAACAATGACAAGCTTACGTTTTCATTGTCCAGCACCTGGACTTTTGCATCTGCATGGGTCTATAACACAAAAATATACCTTCAATGGTACGAGAACTTACTGTAGAGAGCTTTTTCTTTCTTAAAAATTACATTTGTAGCCCTAAAACTACAAATATGATGATACTTTTGAACACTTTGAATTATTTTTAAAGCTTTTTAAAAACTATTTTTCTAAACACTGTGTGAAGATGCATCAAAACGAAGTCAGGTTAATTTTTTGTGCTGACCTTGCTTAAAGTAGTATTGTATTGTAAAGAACAAAGGGAAAGTAAATGAATTTTTACGTTTTTCCCTTAAAATGTTGCCCAATTGAGCAAATGTGAATTAGGAGTAGATAGCATTTGCCTTTGAAAATCCGTATACATTCTTTACAAGCATGGTGGATGCAAACAAATTTCTAAAATCTGAGGTTAGCACGGGATGGGGAGAGGGGAATGAAATTATCCCAGTTTATATAACTCAGCTCATGGCAGTTTATACACTGTTACCATAATGAATGTCTTTACCAGATGAAAAGATAATGTTTAAAAATTCACTCACATTCTTTTTCTTACGCAGATGAATTATCTTATGTAACTGACTGAGGTTGAAAGAGACAGGGACCGTGGTGGAAGGAGAGGGGAAAGCTGGAAGGTAGGGAGGTTGGTGAGGATGGAGTTGGTGAGGGTGGGGTGGCCCATAATTAGCGTTTACAGTAAGAAATGAAGAGAGGACGCTTAGAGTGGAGGGCCACGGGACAAGGGACAGGTTGGGGTGGGTAAGGAGCGGCGAGTAGGGCAGCCACGGGGAGGATCACCTGCAGAATTCGGGAAATGTCGCACGGCCGGGCCCCGCTGTGAGCTAGCTCTACGATCTTCTGCCGGGTGGAGTCCGGCAGTGGCCGCCCGTTGACAAAGACACCACCAAGCTGATTCACTCCGCTGTGACCTGAGGAAAGGAGGAGGAGAAGAGAGCAGAAGAAGAAAGAGAAGAAGGAGAGGGAGAGGGAGAGGGAGAGGGAGAGGGAGAGGGAGAGGGAGA